CTCACACACACACACACACACACACACACACACACACACACGCACACACACACACACACACACACACACGCATCATACAAGTAAAATTCACAACTCCCCCACTTTCTCATTACGTTAATATATCTACCAATCTATTCTTCTCTCTCTCTCCCACCATCTTCAAATTACTCTGTGGGCGATAGTATGCGTGAAGCTAATTGGTACATCACTTTGATTCTTATAGTTATAGCTTGATATCTTTACTTCTTTACAAAATGGTAATTATACACAAAGTTCTAAGAAAAACTAATAACACAGACACTGACACAGATTTACAACAACAAAGTTTTGCACCATTTCCGAATGAGACACAAAAGAGAGCCAACTACGATTTTACACATTTGAAAAGTGGTTGCAGAACTCAAGTATAACATAATAATAATAATAATAATAATAATAATAATAATAATAATAATATAATAATAATAGCGCATACCAATGCAGTAGTATATATCATGTCATGCTCCATGTGCTTTACAAACTTATTGCCCTGCTCAACAGACCCAGAAAACTAAGAAACATTCTAGACATCCCAGGAAGCATAACAAAATATATCACTAATATAGTCTCATTTTTCTGCCAGTCAACTTTAGACAGAAGAAATAAGATCATCATGTACACTTCAGTTTCAGTAAGAGTTTTACGGCAGTTGCAACACAATAAGGTCATATAAGTGCCAGACATTAGAGATTCTCCAAGAGAGTAACGAACACAAAGAAGAAGGAAAGCAGATAAGGATGATAGATTTTTAGTAGGAAAAAAGGAGCAAGTCACACAAGAGCACCAGCTAGCCACCCACAGCTGTACACTAATAGCGCTCAATTTCAAGAAATCAATCAAAATTAGGTACTAAGTAAAGTATTCCTATAAAATAAGGATTTGGCCAAGATTTGAAAACCTTCAAAGAAGAAAAGTATTGCTCGTTAGAGATTGTATTGGAACTGTCAATGAGTAAAGGAGAGAGGATGCATTGTGTGCAGGACAGCAAAATTGAAGATACTATTATTAACACCTTGGCAACGTTAAGTTCACTCAAAACGTTGTCAGAAGTGAACAAATAAAAAAAACCACCTTTAAAACCGCTGATAAAAAATCATACAAATATTATCATACATATAATTAGATATGTATGTGTGGGTGTGTGTATAAATAAATAAAGTTGTGACTATACTTTACAAGAAAACAGTCATCATCCAAAACAAGTCCATCAAAAACATTAAAATAAAATTCTAAAATTCTAATTGGATTTGTCTTAAACTTATATTTTTGACTTATATTTTTGATGGAGAAAAATATGCAAAAACAAATGATCTCAGGTCAAATTGGACGAATCTCAAGATGACCCAATAACATTACCTATTTTGGGCTCCAACATATAGAATACTTGCTGGGCCCCCTTTCAATGAAAGGAATGATCGGTGCTTTAAAATCAACTGAAAGGCATTGGTCTACTATATATACACTCTACTGGAATGGAGCAATAAATCTTGAGAGAAAAGTGACACATGCATTTCCAAGTTCCCAAATATATAATAGATGCATAGATTGATTCTCTTTTCCACTTTCGTGGTTGTACAGAAGCGTGTTGATTGTTCCCAGTAGCAAGAAAAAGAATTTGACAAAGGAGTCCAGAAAAAGCGATGATGAGCATCAAACGAAAGGATCACAGTTGAATTTAGCACCAAGTAAAAAAAGAAAACATGAGGCTTGATCTATACGGGTCACACACTTATAATAGTGCTCAGTATTGCGCAACAATGCGCGATAGTATCGAACAGAAGTACGACTTGAAATTAACAAGCCTGACGGATTTTCTAAAATTACAGAGACAGAAGCCTCGGCCTACAAAAGCGATCAGCGAAATATAGAAATTTAGCTTTTTGCAGCAAAACTGTCTCAAAATTGAAAAAACGAAGTGCGTCATGATTTGGAGAATATTTTAAAGAATCTTTTGGCGAAAACCGCATGTCGATCGATGCAGCCATTAAAAAGGCTTTTGAATAGCAAAATTCGGCCACCACAAATAGATAATAGATGATCTGCAATGTGTTGGGCATTAAGTAAATTTGCATCATTCTCTCCTGTCCAAAAAGTGTACTACTGAGCAAACTATTAAATAATCATAACTTAGACGGCAGTGAACACTAAACAAAGCATCTATATATTCCGATATAAAAATTTGATACAAGATAATCTGTGGTATCTATACCATTTAAATGTAAATTTATACTCCTCATCCAAACTCTTTAACTGCAATGCTTTTCTCCTTTGCTTGCAAAAGACATGAGCTTGATTCCTTAAAGGGAAAGTATTCTACCGCTAATTTTTGTCTTTTTGCAGTGCGCTTTATCCCATTTTTCTCAAGCACCTCCTCAAAGGCAAGACTGACTCAGCCATTACTTTAGATTGACCAAAATTGTATTGATGAGAACATAAAACATTATTTATAATCATTTGTAGCAAGTTTTTTACGAAATGAAAAAAAAAAAGACTAACAATACACATCTTTTTTGGGGGGGAGGTCAACATTTCTAACCCCTGGCCCACATAATACCAGATACATGTAGTATCAAAGATTGGATCAACCTTATTTCTCTCCCCAGTATCAATGTTAAAAATTTCAAGCGCGCACCACTTATCCCCACAGACCAGGACACAGGTGCGGTACATGCAATCGGCGTCCAGTGGGGAAAAGGGACAGCTTTTTACCGTCGCCGATCGGTATCCCGTGGGGGCATAGTGTTAAAAGTGCTTTATAATATATTTAGTAGATTTAAAAAAGAAAAGAAACAGACAAACAGCAATGGACAATATTATGGTTGCCCTGCACTGTAATTGTAGAGTAGTCCATCCGTAGAAAAGCACCTAGGCCAGAATTTACAAAGTTGAATAAAATAATTATTCAAAGTCAGAAATAGAATAACAAATAAGAAGAAAGTGATGCATTTCCTGATTGGAAAGACACGGAGCCTTATATTGTTCTATAATATATAGGCTACACCCTGTGAAAGGAGTGTCAATAAAAATGTTAAAATAGAACCAGATTTTAATCGCTGCATAGATAGCCTATTTACTAGCTGAACCCTTATGAACACCATATTGAAGTCCCTATACATAGCTTTTAATCTTAACCTTACAACAAGTGACATATTACTGGCTTCAACTATTCATTTAAAAAGTCAACTAAGCCTTAGCCCATGCTGTCACGGACACTGGTGTAAATTGTTCAAGATTCAACTATGATGATTTTCAGTGAGGATACTCTCCATTCTCCATCATTATCATGTTACAGTAATAATGAGGGGTGTGGTCACGTACGCACATTATCATTAGGAAAGGTACTCGTGATTGCTCCTTTAGAGGTGGAGGAATAAGATATAAAACTTGCCTAGCATTATTATTATAGTTTATAGTGACTGTCATTGGTTCTGTTTATTCATTCAGACTCTAGTGCGTTCAATCGTTCTACAAGGCTTTTAATCAAGAACAATAATATCAATATGATATCAGCCTTTCAGAATTTGTAGCAAAAGGTCCAGTAGCAACCCCATGGCTGCATCCGCCGGGACTGGAAGGGCAATGTTTACATTTGTGTTATTTGTCCGTGTACTTTGACATTCCTCATCACATTGATTCAATTCGCTCGGGCTTCGGGTTTGTTTACCACACACTACAAAAGCCAAATAAAAGTTGAGACTTACCAAGGGCAAAAGAAGACTGGAATCAAGTTGCGCCTCAACAACGAATAAAAACTTTTGGCTTCTGAAAAGTTACTCTCTGCCGAAACTTCATCACTGTGAGAACCGCATTTATTTTTTTCTTGAAGGAAGTGATGGTCTCCATAGGCGCTTTGGAAGCCGACCTTCGCACGCATGCGCACTACAGGCAAGTTCACGAGAGAGGCTCGTCATCAGTCCAACTCGCTTTAATTAATTTCCTTTCGTTGTTTTAGTCTTTAATCTTTGAATGGGCAATTCACAATCTTAAATTACGCCACACGAAATATTTTCACGCGTAAACACGGTATCATTAGAGAGATCATTCATATTCAATGTAAGAAAAACGATAGCAGGAATTGAGAGAGTTGAGCTGAACTTGAAGTCTTCATTATTACAGGGAAACTTTTCATTTACCGCACTCTACAATATAAGAATGTGTAAAGTTGTCTTATTATGGCACTCGTTGTTAAAGTTTAGCCCAAACAGTGAACATTTTATTTCTTATGTTCATGCGTTTGAGACTTTCAAGTGATAAACAAGAAGTTGAAGAAGAGGCAACCAGGTTTTTCATGTCGCGACGGTAAACACACTTGGAAACACATGCCCGGTATCAGCGCCATCAAAGATGGCAGGGATAGTGAAGTCTATATTTCGCAATGTAGCAGGTCCCTGGTATAACTTTGAATTTAATAAAGGGGCAATCATTCATTGCCTTTCGGTGACAAGTAAACCGTTCAAATCCCATTCGTTGTTTTTGTGGGGGGTTTTCTTTTTTATTGGCTACAGAATCTATAGCTATATATGTGTGTGTGTGCGTACCGTGTGTGTGTGTAAAAAAAAAG